GATGAAATCCATAGAAAAAAAAGACCATGGTTGTTCTGGAATAGGTAACGACTCAAGAAGTCCATTAGGTCGATGACGAGGAGTTTTTGATCTTGAGCAAACATCACAAGATTGTACAAAATCTTTGACTGCTTTCCACATTTGTTGCCACCAATAGTCCCTCGATATTAGTTCCAAAGTTTTATTGTACCTATAATGTCTTATTACTGATAAGTTATGATGAGCTTGAAGAACACGTAATGGAGCTTCACCTTCTGGAACGTATAGGCGTCCCTCAAAATATAGTAGAGTCTTCTTAAATTTAAACTAGGAAGTATCAAGAGACTTTGAAGGATTTTCCTTAATATCATGAATAAGAGGATCAGAAGCCATACTTGACTGAACTTGCTTAATGAAAGTTGAATCAAAAGTTAGTGTTGATTTCATTGCTTGAAGATGAAGATGCTCTAGCTTCAAGAGAATTATTCGTTTTTAATCGAAAGTAACTTCTCATTATTTTAGTGCAAGATAAGATTGTCTAGAGAGTGCATCAGATAAACCATGTTGTTTTCTTAGTCGATAAGTAATCTTAAATTCGAATCTTCACAAAAACATACTCCAACAAACTTGGCGATGATTCAAAATACGTCCCAATATAAAATATTCAAGGTTCTTGTGATCTGTATATAGTATGACTAGGCTACAAGTACCTTCTAGATAATGGCACCATTCTTGAAACGAATCCACAATTGCAAGAATTTCTTTGTCGTGGACATCGTAGTTGTTCTGGGTTCCTTAAAATATTTTGGAATGAAAAGCTATTGGATGAAGTTTATTATATATTCCCATTTGTGACAATACGGCATTCAAAGCAAAGTCTAATGTGTTAGTTTCCATAAAAAATGGCTTAGAAAAATCGAGGCGATATAAGATTGGTGCAGAAACAAAGGCTATCTTCAAAGATTCAAATGCTACTTTTGCTTCTTGATTCTATTGAAGTTTATCTTTACAGGTCAAATATGTAAGTGGAGCTGCAATTTGAGAAAAGTCTTTCATGAAGATCTGATAGTCGTTCGCAAATTCCAAAAAGTATTGGACATCTCTTATCGTTTTTGGAATCTTCCAATCTATAATAGTTTGAACTTTTTTAAGATCTATCATAAGTCTATCATTTGAAATGATGTATTTTAAAAAGTCGACTTGAGTAGTATAAAACACACTTTTTTTATCTTGGCATAGAGTCTAATATTTCTTAATTTTTGGAATACATGACGAATATGAAGTTCATGTTTTTCTATATTCTTAGAATAGATTAAGATGTGGTCTAGGTAACAGACAACAAAATCATGTAAAAACTCCCAAAAGACAACATTCATTAGATGTTGAAATGGTGTAGGTGCATTTATAAGTCCAAAAGGCATGACATTGTATTTGAAATGTCCTTACCTTATTCGAAACGCAGTCTTCCATTCATCTCCTTCTTTGATGCATACCAAATTGTATGCTCTTCGTAGATCTATTTTTATATAGATCTTAACTTGATTGAATTATTCAAGAAGTCCACATATCAAAGGTAGCGGATACTTATTTTTGATAGTGATTTTGTTGAATCCTCGATAATCAACACATATTTGCAATGATCCATGTTTTTTCTTCACAAATAAAATAAGAGCTCTTACTGGAGATTTGGAATGGCATATGAAGTTCTTCGCCAAATTTTCTTCAATATACTCCTTGAGTTCAGCCAACTCATTTTGAGATAAATAATAGATTGGTCCAAATGGCAGTTGTGCTCCTTCTTGAAGGTCAATTGAGTAGTCATAGGAACGATGTTCTAGAAGAGTATCTACATTCTTTTTCTCAAATACATCTTGAAAATCTTGATATTGGCTTGGAATGCCACTTGAAGTCTTTCCACCAGTAGAAATAAGTGTGGCATAAATGACACAAGGTGATCTTTCTTTTGTAGCACACAAGAAAGCACTTACACCTACAAATATAGGTTTAATTATACTAGATTTATGACTTTCTACTTGATTAACTACACTCTTAGTTAAACTTTCAAAAAATTCAAGACTATGAGAAGTCCAATCTATTTTAGGGTTATCTTTTTCTAGCCATGATAAATCTAAAATGATTGGATTAGAAGGAGATCTAATGATATTAAATATTACAAAGCTACTATGATCATTAGTTTCTATTTCTATAGGAAGGATTTTATGAGTAACATCTCTTGAAGACAAAAGACGACCATCTATGACTTCTACATGAACATGTTTAGTTTTCTTTACTAAAAATATGCTATATCTTTTAGCAAATTCTTCATTTAAGAAACATGCTGAGGCTCCTGAATCTAGCAAGGCAATGGCTTTGAGATGTTTAGGTCCTAGAATAATATATATCATAAAACATAGAGAGGGTTCTGAGGAGAAGATAGGACCTTCACTAGGCGTTGTACAAGGTTCCAACCGTTTGGTTCCTATTGTAGGTAGATAAATTTGTTTTTCGACATACTATCTTCTTTGATTGTCATACTCCTCATTTTATGGTTGCGTCACTTTTTTGAGCAATGTTGAGCAATGCGCTTAGGTTCTCTAGAATATAAGCACAATCCTTCTTAATGATGACAAGTCTTTTCTTGCTCAGTAAGAGATTTGAAACGTATTGCATTAATTTACATATCCTCTACTTTCGAATGTATGTGTTGAAGAGATGTTGGTGTTGCCATTGAATTATAGTAATGTTGAGGTCCACTTGTACAGTTCTCAGATCAAATTCAAAATGGCAATTGTCGCACTTCACAGCAAAGTCAATTGCTTGACTCAATGTTTGAAGATCAAGTAAGTTGAGCATTAATTTTTTTACCTCATATTGTAATCCGTAGAGAAATTGGCTAATAAGTGCAGCATCGTCATACTTGATATCAGTTGCAAGTTGTTGAAATTGTGAAGCATACAATATTATTGATCGATTGTTTTGTCGTAAAATATGGATCTTATTGGTTGCAACATGAATTGCATCATGTTCTCCATACATAGATCGAAATTCCACGAAAAAAGCCTCTAGATTATCCAATATTGGATCTCATCATTCAAGAAAAGATGAAAACCATGATAATGCTGAACCTGAAAGAAGCGTACCAATGAATCTAACTTGTGATTTTGGAATTGGATAGCTTTGGGGATGAAGTTCAATCACAAGTTGTACTTGATTGATAAATCCTCTAAACTTTGATCTGGTGCCATCAAACTTCTCGGATAGGATAATTCTTGGTTCTCTAACATTGCAAGGGCGTTCCACTATAGAAGAAAGGGACATGATTTGATATAGATGTTGAAGCTGTTTCAATTATTTTTATATCTTCACTTCCTGCCAATCTTGTTGCTCTTTGTGGTGGTAAATTGAGTTGATGCATTGCAAGCATTAACTCCCTCAATTGCTCTTGCATTTGTGCCATTGCACTCTACATTTCAGTAAGTTCTGCCATGATAACACTTAGAAAAGAGAAGATGTCTAATATCGCTCAAGACAAATAGAAGAGAGGACTTGAGAACAAAGAAAATAGTAAAGACAATATCACTTTAGAAGAGGGTAATCCGCAACTTCTAATAAGCTTATGTCTTATCAAGACAAAGGGGTAATCCACTCTTAATCAAGATTAGGCAAAGCTCTGATATTATAATTGTACTCTTGTCAATCTGTCAAAGAGAAGAACATGATAAAAACAAATAAACAAGTGAGACCTCTCTCAAAGAAAGATGACAAAATAGAAATAATTTGATATGTATATTAAGAATGAAACTGGAATGGCTATTACCAAAAGCCAAGAAAACTAGAAACCCTTGAAACTAGACTAGAAGCAAGAAAGGAGTTGACAAGAGTGAAGAAGACTTCACTCTTGTCTCTATATATACTATCTAACTAGGGGCTATGTGGCAATGTTCTATAAGACCTCCAATATGTGTTAACTTTGTAGGACACATGCCTTGACTTATAAGGCAAGTTTTTCTACGTGTGGGCCACATAGTTAGCTTGGTCTTCAAGTTAATAACATGTGTGGCACATAGCCAACTTATTGACCACATTTTTAATCCAAAAAGTCAATTAAAGACACCTATAAAGTCAAAGCAGCGTCTCTATAGCTTTTAGGAAGCTTCCACATCAAATATTATAGAATTAACTTACTTTTAACTACTTTTACTTACTTCTACCTATTTATACATGTAATTACTGGCTTACATGCTTATATCTGTGACAAATACCACATGAGATAATATTTGAAATTAGTTATTAAATATGCAATAAGAAGTTCAAAGAACCTTTCTACATATACTGTTGGATCATCATTCCTAGTTCTTTTAAAAACCACATGAGATAATATTTGAGATTAGTTATTAAACATGCAATAAGAAGTTCAAAGAACCTTTCTACATATACTGTTGGATCATCATTCCTAATTCTTTTAAATATATGAAAGTTGTATTGCATGGGAGTTACTTGTAAATCCTTCGAAATTACAATTGGCAAATTCCTTGGTTGAACGAATAAATTTATGGATATAGGATTGAAAGTAGTTTCTCTTTCACATTGGCCCTTCTCTCTTGATTTATTTCTACAAATGAGTTGGATGAATCAGGTTCGAACCTATCTCTTCTTATTCCATCATCAAAATGTGTTTCAGACAAAAACGTCTTTTAACGTTCGAGGATGGGATTGCTTATCCAATCCTTCATTCTCTACTCATTTGACTAACTGCCACAAATGCGGCTGAGTTAGTGTTCAGAGCCTGGGGTTGTGTACAAAACCAGGGTTCCGTGATTTGCCTGCCTCTGCTGTGCGAGGCCATCTCTCTGCGTTCTCCATCCTCTTCATTGCGGCCTTCTCTCTGTCCTCTTCCTCTCGTCTGCCTGCTTCCACCCCTCTTCCTGCACTCCTTTTTCTCATTTCTCCGTTTCGGTCCTGGCATTTTTCTGCAGGAGTTAGCACGCCCTCATGTTCCACCTTTTCATCGATTTCAAGTTATGGAGGCTATGGTTTCTGATGAGGTGAGTTCTTGAAATGTTTGGACTTCATTAGGTATGCACAGTTTAGATTCTTATGTTGGTTTCGGATCGAGTTTCAGCTTGGATTTTCAGCAGTATTTTTGCTGTGGTATTGAGCAGCATATACTGTTGGGTTCCCCTGCTTCAGACGGACCAAGGTCATCGCCGAAAGGGTAAGGGGAAGGATCTAGAGGATGCGATGCAAGACCAGATAAAAGCGATGGAACAAAAGATAAGAGTGAAGGAAGAGGAGATCAGAGCGATTTAAGAGGAGGTCAGAGCGATCAAAGAGGAAATCAGAGCGAACGAAGAGGTGATAATAGAGCTGAGAGCGAAGGAAGAGGAGATCATAACAGAGATAAGAGCGGTGGAAACGGAGATTGCTACTGCTTCGGGAAAAAAGCAAGAAAGCCTTTTGAAGCGAAGCTGCAGTTCCTATAGCAACAGATAGTTAGCCTAGGGCAACAGATAGTCAGCCTGGTGCAACAGATAGTCAATCTAGAGGAACAGATTAGCACCCGCGGTCAACAGATAGTCAGTCTATGGCAACAGATTAGCAGCTTCTGGCAAGAAGTAAGCAGTCTTTGGTCTTTGCAAGCAGCGCCGACATCGTCAGGTATGTAATCTTAGAAAGAATCTGGATCCTGGATATGTCAGATGATTCTTGTGTGCTCTTGAATGCCTACTTGTTTCTTAGGGTAGTATGCTTACTTAAACTTGTGAGATCATGCTTTTGTGGTGGACTGATTAGGGTTGAAGGTAGAATAAGCAGGTCTGGTATAAGTTTCTTCCCTGCGTTCACCCATCAGGGTGTCAGATAGTACTCTATTCTTGGCACTTAGTTTGCTTCACTTTGCCCTGCCTTGTGTACTCATTATCATCACTTGGGGTGTCGAGTTTTGAATAGCAGGTAGTGTTTCCTGACATCTTTGTTCCATTCTTTGGCAACTTTGGTGCTGACTAATTTTAGGTGTCCGATTTTTCCAAACTTAGAAACCTCTATTATCTCTCATCGTTCGTTTTGAAGGGTGCAATTTATCTTGAGAAGCGGCAGAAGCGCTACTCTTGCAAGTGCCAGGCCACTGGATGTTTAGTTTAACCATTGGTTTTTTATTTGAATTACTGGATTGCATGTGCAGATAAATGCACAGAGTTTGATTGGCTACGTCAGGACTTGCCGTCGTGGGACTCAGGGAACTCCAAGCCTCCAAGCGCCACGCAGAGGGAGCGGATGTACACCCCTGTGAGAGTGGAGTATTGGGATGTGGTGAAAGACATCGAAGACTACCTGAACAGGGCGGACAAGTTGAAGCGTATATATCGGAAAGTGGATGACTCTGTTTTCACTGTAGGAAAGCAAAGTGGTAGCCATCGCTTGTTTTGTCGTGAACAGCACCTGCGAATTCGTTAGTAAGAAGCGACCAGATTCCTCGTTAACATACGCCGGGGAAGTGAACCTTGAAGTGCCACCAGAACCCTTAGCAGAGGAAGGAGAGTCGACGAACACAGACGGATCAAAGGCCGCGGGCAGAGACGTTCAAAAGTGTTTCTTTTATGCCAGACCTCCTCATGTGGATGTGTTAATTCGATCCAACGGTGAGGCCGTTACTGTTCTTGAGCTCTAGAATGGAGGTCTGGGATGTCCCGTGCCTATCTACAAACTGTGGACAAGATGCTCATGTCGGACAGGTTCAGTGCGGCAGATCTTATTTGATTTTTGGTTGATTCCCGTCTTCACGATTTGTGAAGGATGCTCAGTTGTCAAGCCTGCTGATATGGAGGCTGCATTTCCTCAGGAATCGACCCCAACTGCTGGTGCCATACTAACATCTCGAAAGGACATGCTAGGAGTATTCTCAATTGCAGTCTTCAGGTGTATGAATACCTGGTTTTGTAAGCAGTTCATTTACCTACCTCGGGATTATTCGGGTGGGGCTAGCTCAGCTTAGAGCTCAGTGCCGCCAGGTCTGCTTCTGCCTTTTGTCATGATATTCCAGCAAAAGGGGCAGTCCTGTTTTGCAAAACTTCGTTTTGCCTGGGCAGCTTTTTGGTGCTCTAACCTGGTTTTATTCTTCAGGCAGGTTCAGCTAGTCTTTGCTTTTGTCTACACTCCTTTGTTGTTCCATCATGCTTTTTGTGTAGTTTTTCGCGCATCCCATGGTTTACGTTCAGGAAACCAAAGGCCCCGACAGGCACCCCGTTTTCCCCCTCACCGTTGGCTTCCGGCGGATTTTCTGCTTTTTATCACTGAAGTTGTGAGGTTTACTCCCAAGATATTTAGGAAGCAGATGTTCCTGGAGTTTGAAGTGCTCAGCAATTTCAAACCCTGGTACCCACAGGGATGTGTCTTAAATTGAAATGGTCTTCAGATGAGAAGCTGATGAGTAGTGTGAGGTGATCCTCATTCTACGTTCTTTTCTCTCGAGTTGCAGGGCGAAGGTTGGGTATGGCGTTCTCACCGATATCCAGAACTGGTATCTCTGCAAAAGGGATCATGGTGGCTGCCTCTATATTTCAACAGGTTTCAAGTTAGATGACCGGAAACCGCCTGTATCTGCTGCAATTGCTTATTTGGTCAATTCTGCTGTCGATGCCCGCGGTGAGTTTGATGTTTTACCCAGGAAGGGTGAGCGTCCCTGGAGCTGGGAGGTTTCTCCTTGCGCCAGTCCCAGTAGCGGCTCTAAAGATGGTGAAGACGAGGATAGGACCTACAAACTAAACGAGCGCGAAATTGGTGGTTACAGAACGTCTCCATCAAGGTAACCTGTCTAGCCAGCTACCCAAACATTGACATGTTCTTTGTCATGGATACATAGAAGAGAACAAACGATGGAATGATGGCAAGTGCATGTACAGGACTCGAAGGGGATCCTCAAACGCGACACAGAACCAATTGCAGGAGGTTCCTGCGCCGGACCTGCATCTGGACGACCGCCCCATCAGCACTGGGGGATGGAGCGGCTGCGTGGTTGGCGGCACTTTGATTGGTTGCCGTGTTGCAGTGAAGTTGGCTCTCCGCAATTCGGAACGTGCGGAGGTGAGCTGGAGTTGTGTTGTGGAATTGTTGCGCGCCCGTCTAAACGTTCACTATGGCCCGGTCTAAATCGGGGCTGACCTGGAGTGGTCCAGCCAGCGATTGCTTTTGTAGCAGACAGTCTTTGCTAGACGCAACATGAGGGCATTTTTGTGTTGAAATGCATGCAGTTTGCGACACCTTACCGGCTTCTGATCTTGTTCTGTATATACCGTCTTCTGGCCGTGCTTTGTACAGGCTCTGCTGAACGAGGTGGACGCCTACCTAAAGCTACAGAAGTATTGGGGGGAATTCGTCCCCCATTAGTAGGATTTGGAACCACAGCCAATGGCCAAATTGTTTTCATAGCGACAGGGTTGATCGATGGCAGTCCACTCGGACCTGGTAAGTAATAAGCTCTTGAAACCAGCAAATGGGGAGTGTGGTCGTCTTCCTCCTTTCCCGAGGGGTTCTTGCAGCTTAATCATGGTGCTGGAACAGTATCTGTGGCGCTCTACAATCAACAGGCAGAGTAGGCACTTATCTACGTTTCAATGTATTGCCTTTGGTTCTCAGGAACAGTGACCGAGGAGGTGGCCAATGCGGCACTTGGGCTTGATGCTGTCTACAAGTGTAAGTTACTTCATGGGGGTGTTGAGGCGCGGAACATTATGGTTGTGCTGGGTACACAGCCTTCTGTCCGCCTTGTTGATTTCGGCTTTGCGAAGCGCAGCTTTGTTTAGTACAGTGTAACCATCTTTTCAAGCGACTCTGACGAGGGAGACTTATCGTTGCCTGCCCTTCAAAAACTTTCGCTCCCTTTGCTCTCTCCTTCTCATTTTTTCAACTGCTCCCAGGGCCGCCTCTCCTTGTCTTCTTTGTGTCCGCTTCTCCTCTCTCCAAGCTGTCAAATTGGCTGCCGCCTTAATGGCGGCCGCTAAATTTCACAAGATTCTTTTACGGAAAACTTTCAAAACAATTTAAATCCTAACTTAACAGTTCAATTACACCTTTATTACCCCCTCCCCTCCTTTTTTTAATTACAAGTTTAGAAAAATTATGAGAAAAATACAAAAAATACTAAGAAATCTTTCTAAACATAATGGTAAGGAATTAAAACCTACGATAATAATAAAAAATTATTTGAAAAGAAAATTTAATCCTTTTTTAAAGTCAATATGCCAGAAAATTTATAAAATCCTTTTTGATTTCTATTGTTTAAAAAAAGCTAATAATATATAACTTGGTCCTTTTTTACCATTCTATAAATAGTTCTATCCTGACATCCATTCTCTACAAATCTGCACATCCTTTGATATATGCCGAAGGTCATTCATTCTCCATTTCTAATTCTAAATCATCATTTCTATGCTCTAAGTTCCATTTTGGATCAAAAGAGTGTTCTTCCATATTCTTTGTTATAAATTCTTTTTTAAATATCTTAATCCTTTTTTCTGCAATTGTTGTGTTTATTAAGTTTCCATCTAATTCTTGTAATGAATAGGTTGTATTATCATGCACCTTAACTACTACACAAGGATCTAATTATTTTTGTGTAAAGTTCTTTTGAGCATTATGTTGGTGTTTTAATGAGCTATCAAATATCAAATAATATATTTCCTATTATTACTATCTTTTTGCCTAATAGTCCAATTAATGGGAATTAAACTTGTATCAATCATAATTATCATAGGTTGATTCTTCTCATAATTAATTTGCTATACAATGGATGACAAATCTAATATTTTTTTTAAATCATTCATAGCTTCTTCTTGTTTGTTTGTTTGTTTGTTTGTTTGTTTTTTTTTTTTTGTTTTTTTAATTTTATAGATATATTTTAGAAATATGACTATTATGAAGAATCTAGATTTGATAGAAAACACAAGCTTCCAAAAACCTCCAAACCTTAGTCATGCTCTTATAAGGCTTCATTCTTATAATAGCATCTACTTTCTTTTATAATTTCTATACAAATGTTCCATTACAAATTTTTTTTTAATTCCAAATTTTGATTTGTTAATAAAAAAAGCTTATATTTACCTCTTCCAACCTTTGTAGGATCATTTTTATATCTCCAATATGATGCCTAATAAAAATCTTACATTCAATGTTGTTCTTAGCTTCATCCTTAATTTCTTATTTGCTTTTCTTAATTAGAATATCATCCACAAATGGGATGGTTTTTTCAAATACAAATTCCTTCAAAATCTAATTCATAGCACTTTGTATGAGCCATAGAATTTGTGGCTCCTTAAGATAGCATATATATTTGAACCAATCTTGAAGGTGTCTTTGTAATAGTGAAATTTTTATTTTCTTTTGCAAATTTAAATTCATCATATCCAAAGTATAGGTCTTTAATATAATAAATTGAATGGTCCGCTATCAAGATAGAGAGAATTTGCCTCGAGAAATAGTTGGGCTCTTAATTGCTACTAATTGCTCAATCAAGTAATATATCTTTATGGAATTTTTTTTTCAAACTTCAACGGCTCATATCTCTCAATTAGACCATCCAAATAGAATCACAATTTATATAAAGTACTAATATACTTTAAACAACTATTACAACAAATTTCAACCATAAATTTGTTACAAATCTTGAAATATCACCAAAATCGTAATAATAGCTTCAAACCCTTGTTTATATACACTTGCATGAAAATTTCTTCATATCTCACAAATCAAAAGTCCAAAGACTACAAAAATTGGTATATAGCTTTTTAATACAATAATTCACACTCTCAAAAAAATTGAGCCAAAAATTCGTCCAAAAACTCAAGATATGGCTCTAACTATTAATATCAATAAAATAGTTTATTTATTGCCTTTGAATTACATGTGTTGTCTTCAACTCCCTATAATTCCTTCATACAAACTCTAAATGTAATAATTCTTTTGTGAAAGATGTAGATTTAAAATCAATCTTGTAGGCGCTTCTCTTAATCTCCAAAAGCAACTATATAATTCCTTGTATCCTCAAAAGAATAATAATATGTCTTTAAAAGATACTTCAACTTCAAACGGATATAATTTCTTCATCCTAATTCCAAACCTTCTAATTTTTATACCCAAATTGTAGTCCAAATCCTAAATCTTATAATTCTTGCCTCTGATTCTCAAATGATCTTTTCAAATTTGCCTAAAACTCTTATTATGGTCGTAGGTAGCATACTAAAAGCCTATTGGACATGACATTCGACCAATAGGGATGAAGACCTTCATCCCTTGCTTTCATCCCTCCCAATAAGCCTCTTAATAGTTTAAACTTTTATTTTTAAATTCCAACCTCTCTTAAGCTTTATTCTAAATATCTAAATTTTATATAATTTAAACACTATAATTAAAATAGATAAACCTCTAAATAATTTTTTTTATATCAACTCTCTTTAAATTAACCTACTAACCATTCTAATTCATATAAAGATTTACAAACATATTATATGTTTTAATTAATTTTTCAAACTATAAGCAATTATAGTATGACATGATGCTTGTCTTTCTCTGTCATTGCCTTAATATGGTCATATTGTTTTCCATCCTTTGCTACCATCCTATCTTTTTCCCTTCCTTTGTTTGTCATATCTTTGCTGCCATTAAGTTTAAATGCCACAAGAGCTATTTCTTTCAAATTTTGATACTTGTTTTAGATGTAGTTTAATTAAATAATAATTTTGATATGATTTGAATTAATTGGCTTAAATATTGAATAGTTTTGACATAAATATAATTATTAAAAATATTTTTATATTTTTATGATTATTTTTTCAATTTCAAAATATATAAATTTTATCACAAATATTAAGAAGAATTGGATAATATTGCTAATATTAAAAAAATTATGTTTAAATACAAACCAATGTAAATGCAAATGCTTTAAATTGTATGTGATAAAGATGTCTTTTTTATGAATATTAAAAAAAATATTTATATACTTAAAATGAAAGAAATGAAGATTAAATTAAATACTCTCTCTCTCTCTCTCTCTCTCTCTCTCTCTATATATATATATATATATATATATATTACTTTAAAAATTATATAGATTTGAAAGATTTTATTATTTTCAATTTTTTTGAAAGCCTCTATAGCATCTATCCAAGCAAATGTATAATGTACAAAAATGGATCATAAAAAGCCTTCCAAAAAATATGATATACTAGAGTTAGATCAAGGATATTACAAAGCTGCCATGTAATTATCCAATTCATATATTAGTCTCCATTTTAAAATAAAAAAGGTGATTTTTTTTAAAAATTAAAAAAATAATATGTGATGTATGTTTTATAAAAACTTTAGTACATGAAGATAACTAATTTATATTTTATCACAACTATAATTATAATCAATACCTGCAATAAAAAAAAATTGATAATCAATTTTTTTTTACAGAAATACCTTTGTATCTTTATATATATAATTAAGTATTTTTAAAAATATTTTAATTATATTTTATATGTGATAAAAATAATAGTATATAATTTTGAATAGAAAAATATATTGCAATATTCATTCATATTTTGGATATAAAATATATATATTATAGACCAATATTAGATATGTTATTGTGTTCAGAATCAAGATTCTATGATTTGTCAGCCTCTAATGTACGAGTTCATCTTTTTTTGCATTCTCTATCCTCCTCATTGTCACCACCTCTCTGCCCTCTTTCTGTTGTCTGCCTGCTTCTACTCCTCTTCCTGCCTTTCTTTCGGTGTCACATCCTTTTTCTCATTTCTCCATTTTAGTTGCTTCTCTCTTCTTTCCCCTCTTAGGATTTTTAGTAGATTTAAATTGATTTTATTATTATAAAAAATCATCAAGATAAAAAAATTTGATTATTTTATTATTATTATTAGCATTACTTGGTGGTTTTTTTTTAAGTATGTTGTTAGTTCCAAAAGCATAAGAGGTAGAGCTTGCCTTCAAGATATCATTACTCCTCCTTATAATTTTTCTTGTTGAAGGTATTTCTCTAGTAATAGGAAGATTTAATCACCTCTTCTACTTCTCATACCATCTCTTTTCATCTTATAAAAATCTAGTAGAAGGTCTTTTTTTAATGGTAGGGAGATTTAATCACTTCTTCTACTCCTCGTATTTCTTATATTTATGAGAATAGCGTAGGAGGAGCCAACAAGATCTTAGGAGGATTTTTTCATCAAGAAGATAAAAAGAAGAATTTTAAGAAGAAAAATTAGATAAAGAAGGTAGATAGAAGAAATTTGGAAAAGAAGAAGAAAAGAAGAAGAATGAAGATCTACAAGTTCAAATTATAATCCAAAGTGAGTATCTTTTCAATAAAATTTATTTTGCTAATACAGATTGTGGTTTGAGAAGAAAGAGCATGAGAAGAAAAGAGAAAAGCATTAATAGCTAGCAAAAAACTAAGTCTTTAAATCTTATTAATTTTTTTTACTTTAAAATTTTAAAGAATTTCTTGAATACAAAGAACTAGAGATAAGATTTGGAGGATAGAATCTAAGAAGAAGATGCAAAAAGAGATAACCTTCTTAACCTTCTTATAGATTTTATTTTCTTTAGAATTAATAGAGCTATAGAAATCTTTCTTATCTTAATTAAAAAATAGTTTTTAAAAAAATTAGTTAATTCAAATTGGATAAGAAGAAGTCCACATTAGAATTCTTTAATTTGTATTAGATTGATTAGAGATGCAAGTAGGTGAGTCTTTCTTCAACATGGTGTGATTGTCTTATAAAAAAAAAAAATTTTCTAATAGAAAAGTATTCTTAATTTTTATAGTAGGTAATTCTCTAACTATCTTGTTATAAAAAGGCAAGAAAAAGAGAAAGCTTGGACTTCTTGCCATTCCAATATAAAATTCTTTTTTACAATTAAGATTGCTTAGGATCACTTTTATAGTAGTTCTCTATAACAATTAAAATTGGAAATAATCTTACTTAGAATGATACTTAAGCAAGAATTTTTCTTTTAAATGTTTCTATTTTTTTTCCTTCTATGTTGGAAGGTACTTAAGTAAGTTGCAAGTAGA